TAGCCCGTGAGGATAGCACCAGGAATCTGCGCACCGAAAAGGACAAGTAAGTGAAGGTCTCCCTCCATATTGCGTAGAGTGATTGACTAACGGAAGTGTTTCCAGATTCGGCCTGTTTCTGCGCCTGTTTCTCATCATGGGCGTTACCTGGTTATCGGAAATCATATCCTACTTTGTGGGCGCCGACAAGAAGTGGTCGAAGATCTTTTACGTCTCCGATTTGTGCAATGCCATGCAGGGCTTTCTCATCTTCATGCTGTTCGTGCTGAAGAAGAAGGTCAAGCACTTGATAACAAACAGGTATGTTCCATCATTGGCTCTGTCCAGAACCCGTCTATACCCAAACCAAGTGCCTTGTGCTGTCCCTTACCCCATTCACAATTGGAACGAGCTGTATCCGTAATGTGTATCACACGAGTGTCTACTGAATATGTATATGTATTTGACTCACTCCAATTGTCCACACACCCTGCCCCTCTCTCGAATGCAACCCTCCCTACCCCACCTGCTCGGTTAGAACTGTGCGAGTGCGCAGTCTGAGACAAACGGAGAGCGTGACTGTGGCTGGAAGCAGTTACTCGATGAGGCAGCGCTTTATGGACGCTTCCCAACACATACGAAAGCTGGTGGTCATACGCAACGCGTTTGCCAACACTGGCAGTGGTGTGCATTCACATGCCGTCTAGTGGCACGGAACGAAACGAAGCAGAACGGAACGGAATGGAACCATCGAGCAGATAGCTGCAGTAAGCGTTGCACTTCCCCTTTTGCTGTTCAGTGTTGTGCAACGACCGCCTAACACTCTCTCTCTGTCGAGCTCCCTCTCTATCTCTGTGTGGGTGCGTGTGCATGTGTGTGTGTGAATGGCATGCACTACTATATTTGATAGCTAATCTATACATAGACAATACATATATATCGGACATATATAGTATATATGTGTGTGGCTGTATCTCAATTGAATTTTCTTCTGTATTCTTCCGTATTCAGACTGCTTTCGGTAACGCTAACGCTAAAGAATCGCAACCAGAACCGCAGCCAAGCTGTTAACCAACACACAACACAACTCGCAAGCCTTAATACTTGAGTGTTGTAAATATGAAAAAAGCTAAGAGATCAGAGGCTAAGCCCCATTCAAAAAAAACACAAAGCAATCGAACAAACTCCGTCCATTAAAATGTATACTAATAAATAAATTTATATATATATCATGCGTAACACCCATGTCACCCAACTCCAAGTGATATTTTACTACATACACACTCATATATGAATATATATATAAATAATATACATATGTAACAAATGCAAATCCGTAATTTTTGTTCACGAAGACTTTTGAAGCAAAAGTCGCCCAGCTCAAGTCAGTCGACCTCAACAAACTCGACCTCCACCGAAATAAATATACACCAGGAAAAGTTAAAAATGAAGGAAAAGTCCACTCGACGGCCCAACACCCAAACAAAAACATAGAAAAACAGAAAGAAAATAAATAAAAGAAAATAGTGCTATAAAAGGTAAAGGAATTATTATCAAACGTAGCTAGAGGTTTTGCTGAAGCGAAACATTTGTAATTAACCCCAGTTGAAAAACAAAAACAACAAAAACAATAAACGAGAAAGCAACTAACCAATCTCTAATGCTATCTATCAATATAGATAACTAATATATAAATAATTGCATGTAAATCAATTCAAATAGTTTCGCTGCCTCGCCCTGCCCCTCTCCGGTTTCCCTGGAGTCTCGCTAGAGACATTTGCATTTCCAGCTATCAGCCCACATTCATTATCATATTATATCGAGTCATGTTATCATATCTGTCATTAACGCTGTTACGCTATAATCTGTGTTATCTATGCCCCCACTATTTGCCCCGACTCTAATCAGATTCTCATGCCGTCCATTTAGATGCTCGAGTTCGCGCGATGGCAGCCACCAGAGGCAGAGTCAATACTCCACTAAAACCACCTCCAGCAGCGTTGCGAATCTTACTTTGCAGGAGAAGAGCTCCGCGGAGAAGCCGCTTTTCTCCATTGATAAGCAACAACAGCAACAGCAACAACAACTACAACAGCAGCAGCCGTCACATCGCACCACCAGCTTCCATTGAGGCCCACTGTGCGCACAGTGGTTAATGCATTGCTGCCGGTCTAGTCCTTGATGACGTCATCGCGTCGACGTCGTGCTAAGCATCGAATAGCTGGGCTGTCCCAGCAGCCATCTATATATATCTATATCTATTATATTCTAGACTTATAAAAGACACTATATCTATATGTACATGTATATATATGAAGCTGTATATTTATATGTATACCTATACGTCATCCATATCTGAATGAGCTTACTATATATACACACATCAAATATCAGATAAGTCTTGTAAGCATTTGTCATATCTACGCGTCCTTTCTGAAATTGTTTTATATCAAATTGTACACTGCAAAAAACATATGTGAAATGTTTGTTAAAAATGTATACAAATGTTAAATAAAGCCAAAGAAAACAAACAAAAGACAAGCAGCAGAATAAGCTAATCATATATTGATATCAGGTAAAAATGTATTCCATTCGATATTAAGCCCAAAATTATAATTTAAAACATGTAGAAACGAGTTTACTCAAACTGTTCTCAGCCTCTTTGCTCTGTGCAAGAGTGAGTTGCGTCAAAGCTTAAATTGTTCCCACTGTAAAGCAAAAAGAAGCTTTACAGCACAAACAATAACGCCTGATTATCGTATTGCCATAGCTAGCGAAGACAAGCACCTGCGTGCGTGAATACTTGATGATTGGTTTGCAACTCAAATGTAACGAGAACAGTCAAATTACTGTTTTTTTCATCTATATTTATCTATGCTCTATCTGTTGCTCAAACTATTGACATTGCATATTATACATTACTAAATTTATGCTACATCTAGCTTTAATTTTCTTTGTTCACTTTGCCTGCTGATAGCGATTAATCTTTGATTAATACTAAACGTTGACAACTATTTTCCCTATAGGCCAATAAATTTAATGCTGATTGGAAGACGACAAAAATTGAGAGAGGGCGAAAAAAAGTATGTCGTTGACAGCAGGTAAGATAACATGCGGATGATTAATGCTCTCGGAAATAAAAAAATCGTCAGGCAGGGGCTGAGATGGGAAGACCAGAAATCGGAAGTTCCAGCACAACAGGGCCACTATTTGTTTCTTTCTCTTGTTGCTGTAGTTGTCCCCAAAAGCTGACATTGCACAGGTTCTCAGGCCGAAGGACAACCTGTTGAGGACATGGCGCGATGTTGTCAGCTGACGTCAACGTTTATTAGGAAGAATAAATAAAAACGAGTGATTACAGAATGGAAGTGAATTAAGTAATCGGAGGTAACGCTGCCTTCAGTTAAGGGCTCACCATTAAGGTGCTGCCTATATATGGACTCAGTTTGTTGACTACAAGCGTTTAGAAGAGTCTCGAGCTTGAAGTGAATCGTTGACGACGTGTAGAGGATAATTCATATGTAATCAAAGTAAATAAACTATTATTCATTTTGATATATTTATTTTCCTTTGGCTAAGGTGTCTTTCACTTGTTGCAGAATGAAGCAGCATCGGGGATCCATGGCAAGGGGTATACAACTGCTCGTGGGACTGCGCCTGCTGCTGGGTAGTCCGTTAGGGGCGCATGCTAAGGGCCCGTGCAGCTTCTTAGACACTGTCAATGTGACTGGCTACCCCTCGTTCCCGAACGGCAGCTACAACTACGAGGGCGTGATAATACCCAGCCACTACGTGGGCACCTTCGAC